TCCTGAAGCTAGGCCCTTCCATCTCTAATCCTGAGGCCACCGGCTGGGGAACTGCACCCACGAAACTTAGCTTAGCCCTCAGAAGATGAAGGATAGGTTCCTGCCACCGTGACCCCATTTTTCAGGTGAGGAAACTGAGGTGGGGGGGGCGGGGGAAGTGACCTGCCCAGGGCCTCACCGTGAGTCGGTGTCAGGGCCTGAAATGCAGATCAGCAGACCCCTGGGCTTTGTTGGTGCCGCCCACCAGGAGGCCCAGGAGACAGGGACCAGGCTCCCACCCACCCGTGAGGACTTTCACATGGGAGTAGGAACTTTTTGCCTTGCCCCGGGCAGGTGGCTCCTGGTGCCTGCTACTCTCCTGGGCTGGGAGGCCACAGAGAGCCTGGGAAGCATTGGGCAGGCCTGTGCTTGAATCCTGGACCTGGCTGTGGCTTCTGGGCAAATCTGCCTCTCTGAGCCTCCTCAAGACGGGCACAGTACCTTCCTGATGGGCTCAGCAGGGAAGGCACTTGGTCTGGGTTCATACAAAGGCTAGGTAAATGTTGAACTGAGATTCAAATCAGCTTTGTTGACTCTGAAGCCATGTTCTCAACCTTGGCTCCCAGCTGCCCCCTAGGCGCCCCCCTCCTCCCCCTCCGCCGGTCCTGATCTCACTGGTCTGAGCAGATTGGAATGTAGGGGAAGGGAATGGGGAGCCCCTGTGTGTGGGGCCCAAAGGCCTAGCCGTGAACCTTGGTCCCTGCCCTCCAGAGCTGACAAGGAAACTGAAGCAAACCAGCAAGGACCGGTCACACCAGCTACAAGGACTGGCCAGGGCCAGCTACAATGGCGTAGGCCAGGCAAGAACCCAGGATCAGTAAACTGAGGACAGAGAGGGCCAGAGGCCTGTCCCCTGAGGGGGTGGGACAGACCTGGGCCACCTGCTGGCAGTTTCCTGGAACAGCGGCTGGCCGGGGCAGCCACCAGCCATCTCTTCTGGCCATTTGCTGTGGCCCATCCACACGGCCCCTTATCTCCCCACAGCACTTGTGGATGCTGAGGAGAGAGGGGGCTGGCCCCGCCCTTGCTGGCCAGCATGGGGCACCCCCTCTGTACCAAAGAGCCCAGCCCAGAGGAGGAAACTGACAGAACAAGGGACTCATCAGAGGTCACTAGACTCCTGTCTCAGATTCTCTTCCCCAAGCACACTGGCTTCAGTCATGTGTGTTGGTGTCCTATGACTGCTGTCCCACAAACGTGGTATTTTTTTTTTTTTGAGAGAGAGAGAGAGAGAGAATGAGAGAGAGAGAGAGAGAGAGCATGAGAAGAGAGAGGTCAGAGGGAGAAGCAGACTCCCTGCTGAGCAGGGAGCCCAATGTGGGACTGGATCCTAGGACTCCAGGATCATGACCTGAGTGGAAGGCAGTTGCTTAACCAACTGAGCCACCCAGGCACCCACAAACGTGGTATCTTAAGACATAACTAGGGACGCCTGGGTGGCTCAGTTGGTTAAGCGGCTGCCTTCGGCTCAGGTCATGATCCCAGCGTCCTGGGATCGAGTCCCACATCGGGCTCCTTGCTCGTCAGGGAGCCTGCTTCTCCCTCTGCCTCTGCCTGCCATTCGGTCTGCCTGTGCTCGCTCTCTCTCCCTCTCTCTTTCTGACAAATAAATAAATTAAAAAATCTTAAAAAAAAAAAAAAAAAGACATAACTATTCCCTTCCAGTGCTAGAGGCTGGAGGTCCGAATTCAGTTTCACTGAGCTGAGATCAAGGTGTCCTCTGGGCTGGTTCCTTCCAGAGGCCCCTGAGGAGAAGCCATCTCCTTGCCCCTCTGGGTTCTGGAGGTATTAGTATTTCTGGGACCTTTCTCGAACCCTCCCAGCCACTGCTTCTCATCTTCTCCTCTGGAATCATCCCTCCCTCTTACAAGGGATTGTGATTATGTTGGGCTTTTTAATTTAATTTAATTTATTTACAGGTGCCTGGGTGGCTCAGTCATTAAGCGTCTGCCTTTGGCTCAGGTCATGATCCCAGGATCCTGGGATGGAGCCCCACATTGGGCTCCCTGCTCAGCAGGAAGCCTGCTTCTCCCTCTCCCACTTCCCCTGCTTGTGTTCCCTCTCTCACTGTGTCTCTCCCCATCAAATAAATAAATAAAATCTCTTTAAAAATATTTTATTTATTTATTTGAGAGACAGAGCATGAGCAGGGGGAGAGGGAGGCTCCCTGCTTAGTGGAGAGCTTGCTTCTCCCTCTCTGTCCCTGCTTGTATTCTCTCTCTCTGTCAAATAAATAAAACAAACATTTTTTTAAAAATACATATATGCACTATAATCTGCATAAAAGAGAATCTGCAGGGGCGCCTGGGTGGCTCAGTGGGTTAAGCCTCTGCCTTCGACTCGGGTCATGATCTCGGGGTCCTGGGATCGAGCCTCACATCGAGCCCAGCATCGGGCTCTCTGCTCAGCGGGGAGCCTGCTTCTCTCTCTCTCTCTCTGCCTGCCTCTCTGTCTACTTGTGATCTCTCTCTGTTAAATAAATAAATAAAATCTTAAAAAAAAAAAAAAAGAATCTGCAAGGCTGTACTCCAAAAACCTTTAAGTGGTCGTATCTCTAGGTTGGTGAGGCTGTAAGTAATTGGCATCATCTTTTTGCTTATCTGAAAGTTTTATTCATGCACAATAAATAATTATTGGCATAATCAAAGTGAAGCTTTAAAATTTAACAATCTAACAAACAGAAAAAAGCAAACCAGAATCTTCCCAATTCTTGAAGCCCCAGCTTTGTCTTGCCCTCCCCAGGGAGACCTCCCTGACTCCCAGGGCAGAAGAAGGCTCCCGCTGTTCTCACAACTGCTGTCTTCTTGCTTCTTGGAGCTCTTGACCATGAGCTCTGGGAGCCTGGTTGGGAACAGAGCAGGGAGTGTGTTCTGAGGACAGCAGACCCCACCAGCTGCATAAGACACCCATCATATGTCAACCGTGCACATCGACTCTGTGCATCTTTCCATCACCGACCACACCAACCCACTAAGGTTATCTGACTTCCAAGAGCTTACCCAGGGATGAGCAAAGATAGGGCTTGCCCAAGGTCACAGAAGGTATTGGCGTGGTTCTCACCTCCCGCCTTCCACTGTCATCAAGGCCACAGGCACATGCCCTGATCTGAACATGCCCAAAAATGGGGCAGAGGTTCTTGCCTTTCAGCCGAGAGGTGTGGCTTTTCCTGCCTGCCCATTTTCGGACCCTTACCTGCTAAACCCATTTTACTGATGGGCAATTAGAGTCCCTAAAGAACAAAGATTGTCCAGACAAGCTGCAATACTGAAGTTGGTCACAAGGTGGCAACATGAGGCCTTGTTTCGCGGTCCCTACTGCCCTCTAGTGGTTAAGGGAAAATACACCCAGGGGCTGGCCCAACAACATTTGGGGGAAACTGAGGCAGGGTTGTCCCCTGGGATAGAGGAGGGGGAAGCACACTCAGTCGGTGTCCCATGGTGGCCTTGGGTTGACTAGCCATTCTCCAGCCCCAGACCTGGGAGCAGGTCTAGCTAGCACAGTCCTTGGGCTTTTCATCACAGTGACCATTCAGGGGAGGAGGGTGATGAGGGTGCGGCTGGGTGCCTTTCTGCCTGCAACAGCCCAAGAGAAAAAGCCCCAGTCAGGAGTCAGGTCCCTGTCCCCTGGCATGGCTCAGCCACCAACAGCTCTTCCTCTGCAAAATGCAGAGACAGAAGAAAATCTCAGCCTGTGAACACAGAGAGAAGTAGGTGGCTGGGAGCTGGGGCCTGGCCTGCACCTGGACCTCCTTAGCCAGACCAGGCCTCAGCGGGGAAGGCCAGGGGCTGGGAGCCACGGTCGCTGGGCTGGGCGGGAGGAGCCTAACGTTTGGAAGTGGCGGTCTTTGTTTCTCCTGCCGTCAGGTCTTAAGTCCTGAAAGGCCTTTGCTCCAGGGGCCCAGAGTGGCCTGTGGCCCAGTTCCTATCCTGCTGAGGGAGGCTCTGGGACCAGGACTTGAGGCCTCATTCAGGGGGACTGCATTCTGGACAAGCTGGTGCTCCCCCTGGCCGGGCCGCTGGGCTGTGGCTCACCCATGTGTCTCGGGAGGAAAAAGCCGGCGCGGACAGAAGCCGGTGATGGCAACGAGAACAAGCAGGTAGCAGGCTGGCTCTACGGGAGAAACTGAGGCCGCTGCTTCCAAATGTTAGGCTGTTGGCCTCCAGAGTGCTCACCAGGCCTCTACCTTATTTGAATGTTTGCCATCACAGGGAGCATGAATTATTTTTATGTCTTAAAAAAATGAAGTAATATTTTAAGACTCTCGAGAGGTCTGGGGGAATGGGAGAGCCCGGCGAGAAGAGTTCAGCCCACTGGCCACCTGCTGGGCCTCTGGAGGCCATCTAAGGGAGCCGGGGGAATGGGGACCCCCGAGCCTCGGTGCTCTGCTCAGGACAGCTCCACTCATAGCCCCCGCCTCGCTCCCAGAGCTGGCTTTTCCCTGTCCCAGAGTCTCCATCCCCAGGCCTGGGACTGAAGCCCGGGTGCCCACCTGCTTCAGGGGTCCTGAGGTTCTGGGAACCCTGCTCCCCTGGCCCAGGAGCAGGACTGGAGCCAGTCCAGCCCCTGCTCTGAGCTGGGCGTCCTTCTCCATACTTGACCCGCATCTCATGCTCAAACCCTCACGCTCTCCCCTTGAGGTAGAGGCTATCATTATGCCCATTTCACGGAGGAAGATGCGGAGGCTCAGAGAGGGGCATCACGGCCCAGAGTCCCACAGCCAGTGAGGGGCACAAGTGGGCCTGCGTCCTGGGACATCTCAGGCTCCCCCGCTGCCTATCCTGTGGTGGTGTCCCAGGGTCCCTGGGACACAAGGCCTGCCAAGTCCTTCTCCCCAGGCCCCACACCCAGTCAGCACGGGACAAACTAGTTACCACCAGGGCGGGGCGGGGCCTCAGTCTGAAGCCTTGCTCACCAGCAGTCCCACACGGCACCCTCCACGCCCCACCACAGCACCACGAACGGAGCAGCAAACCTTTTCTTTATTGCGAACGTGACACACAGTCCCAGGGGCACCTGGGAAGAGCCGGGACCAGGAGGAGCCAGAGATGAAATCCTTTGTAAACCAGACTATTCCTCCTTCCCCTGTCCAGGGCAGGAGCCTGAGCCGATTCCCAACCCAAGGTGCGGACACAGCAGGCCACAGAAAGTCCCAGAGAACAGCTGAAGTGCAGGGAGGCCCAGGACAGGGGGTCAGGGCGGGTCGGCCACCTGGGCCTGAGGGGCAGCCTTCTGTGCCCCTCAGGGGACTGTGGGCAGATATCAAGGCTGGCTTTTGTCCCCCAGCGTCCCAGGGCTGCAGCAGGTGCTCAGTGCTAGAAGCCAGGGAGCTGGAGGGGCGGGGGGAGGGCGAGAGGCACAAAGATCCCATCCCCCACCCACCGCACAGCATCAGTCGCTGACCCAGTGGTCCTGGTCCCCGGCAGCCGGCGTCTTCTGCTGTGTCCCACCACTCCGGGACACTCAGGTCACTGGGGTGCCTCAGCAATGGCTTTCTCCATCCGCAGGTACCAGGGCTTGATGCGGGTGTGACACATCAGGTCGTCGAAAGCCTCCAGGCCCTCCATCACGCGCAGCACGCCGTACACTGCCTGGGGGAGGCGACAGAGGGACGTCCACATCTGCCCTCCACCAGCTGTGCGCCCTGGGGCCTGTCACCTCCCCTCTCTGAGAGGGCTCACTAAACGGCCAATTGTGCCCATGGTGCTCGCAGTGAAATGTGGGGGATTTCTGTAGGTTTTGTCTGCCGTGCATCTACTCCCCCTCTCTGGGCAACAAATCCCACCTCTAGAATTTCCTTTGGGAAAATGTCCTGCCCCACTCTCAGGTCCTAAGATCTGAGGAGAGGGGACCCCACCAGCCAGCTCTAAGACCCAGATCTGGCAATCAACGTATTCCATCCCGGCTTGAAGGACTGCTTCGGGGCTTGGCACTCGAGCCAGGCCAACAAGACACTGTCCCAGGACTTCTGGTGGGTGCAAGCGGCTCCAAGGGGTTGAGATGCAAGAGGTTGAGGCCGAGCCCTGGTAATACCACTTGGGTCCCTGGATCCAGCTGGGCCTGAAGCCAGCCCCTCCCCTGAACCTGTCAGTGATGTGAAGCAAGACAGTTCCTTGGATGGAGCCAGGTGCCTCCAGAGCAGGAGAGCTGTGAGACTAGGTATTGCCTCCATGTGGGCTTCCTCTGCCCAGACAGGCCCCTCTGGTCTGGGCACCCCCTGCCACCACCAGACTCACCAGATCAGCCAGGTTCGGCTTCTGGCCTCCCATGAAGGGCCGGTCTTTGCCCACGGCTGCCACCCACTTGTTGGCAGCCTCATAGAGGTCCTCACGAACGTCATCTTGAAGATGGTGCCTGGTGAGGAAGGGGGAGTCCATCAGGGAAACTCCCACCCTCGGCCCAGGTTGGGAAAACGGGAAGGCTAGGGGGCCAGGGCCACTCCCCTAAGGCAAAAATCAGTTATCATCCGCCCCAGTCAGGGAGGCCATGACCAAAGGAGGATCCAAGAGACCCAACCCCAGAGAAAGCAACAGAAGGAGGAACAGAGCAGACCCCCAGGCCGGTCTGCTTCCCCTGGGGAGGCGGAGGCAATTGGGAGTTCTGGCTGCAGGTCCCGGCATGGCATAGACTAGGGGCTCGGGGACAGCAGGCCCCCCCGGCACACACGCAAGCCCCATCACCTGCTCTTGAGCCGCTTGCTGATGAGGTACATGGCCGCCGCACCCAAGTACTTGGCCACGGCACCCTCCACTGCCCCGAACTTGCCCTCCCTGACGATGTAGTCGAAAGAGGCCAGGGCCTCGGCAGGAGTGCGGTACACGTTGGGGGAGATCAGGTGCACCAGCCAGTCATCCACCCACTGCCGCCACTTCATCTCCTCCCTGTGGGCAAGGCCGGGGTGGGGGGGGGGTGACAGAGGGCAGGCCGGGTGAGCTGCCAAAGCCCGGGCCTGGGAGGCGCGGGAGCAGGTGCACTGTCTAGACCGCGCAGTGTATGGATGGGAAGCCGAGGCCGGAGCAGGATTTTCGGAAGGAGACTTAGCCTGGCCATGGCCCCAGCCCTCCTGGTCTTCCACTCTGCTCCCCCATCTCAGTGTCTCACTCAGCCTGTCCCCCCTCATCCCACCTCCAGAAGACCCTGCCCCCGCCTCACTTACGTCCTGGCCTCCTTCCCACCATACATGCGCTGGGCCTCCTTCTCATCCAGCATGAGCCAATACTTGTTACAGAATTCCGTCACCTCCTTCCCTTGGTCGTTCACAGCCTTCATGGGTGGATAGTAGGTGACGATGTCTTCCAGGGGCTGCCTTTGGGAAACAGCCAGAGTCTCATCCCAACCAGTTCTTCCTCTCCGAGGCCAGGTCATTGCCTGCTCAGCCTGGAGATCTACCCCGACCTGAGCCGGCGCCGGAGGGGAACCTGGACCAACCCCCCAAAGCTTTCCGCCCTCTTCTGGGAGCCAGAGGGGGTCCTGCAGCAAGAGGGCCTAGGAGCAAATACGGAAGCATCTCCCTGACAGAGGGAGACGTGCAGAGCTGGGGGGGCTGGCTCAGAGTAGAATGCCTACCCTGCTCCCCTGGAGGAACCCGGATGAGGCCTCCTGGGAGATAAAAGGGACAAAATGCAATGCCAGCCCCGGCCTCTGAGGGGCTCCTTACCCCGACACCAGGTAGGTCTTGAGAGCGCTGATGATGACAGAGGAATCATTCAGTTGTTGCTGGAGGATGAGAGGTTGGGTTAAATTGGGGGAGTGGGTCCTGGAGCCACCAGCAGGATCACCAGGGCTCTTTTAAAATAAACATGCAGGCATTCCAGGAAACTGGTCCAGGGGAACCCCCGCATTGTTTGTCCATCCCTGGGGGTTCATTCCCAAAACTGGAGCCCATGGAGGTTTCCCTGCCCCACAGGACCTAGTCCCACCATCCTCCTCACACCACCCCCACCACTGCCCAGGCCCATCCTGAGTAGGAGAGGCCCAAGTGTGGCTAATGGGAAGGAGGGTGTGAGGAAGACCTAAAGTCTGGGCCCTGACCACTCACCTGCCTGGCCTCCCAGGCATTGAGGGGCAGAATGGGCTCTAGAAGCTATAAGCTAGGAGCCAAGTACTGGCCAAGCATTTGCTACCACCTGAGAGTATGGCCTTCTGTTGATTAATGAAGAAGCAAACCCAGAGAGGCTAAGTGACTGGCCTCAAGTCATGTAACCAGTGAGCAGCAGAGCCCCACCTTGAGCCCAGAGCACCCTGATTTCAGAGCTCACATAGTTGAGCTCTGGGACACTCCACCTCCCTTGGGCCCAGCTGGTTAATAACCCACAGCAAGGTCCAAAGAGACCACACTGTTCCAGAGTTGCAGAGCAGGGCCTGCCTAGGGGGTACTCCAGGATAACCCAGGCTGTGGGGGGTTGCTCCCTGAGGCTCACCAAACTCTCTCCTTCCTGGGCCAGCAGGATGGGCACCTTCCTGTAGGAAGAGAACTTGATCTCGGCCCTGCGCACAGGGTTCACTTCTACCACCTGGTAGGGCAGGGCGTGGAAGTCGAGGAAGGCACGGACCTTGCTGCAGAAGGGACACGTTTTGTACTGGTAGAGGGTCAGCTGCAGGCGGCTGGACAGGGAGAGCTGGGCAGGGAGCAGAGGGAGGGGCTTCTGAGGCCTGGTGCCCAAGCCCCACCCCCAAGCAAACTTCTCCCAAGGGAGACTTCTAGGAGGAGGCTGAGAACATCAGGAGGAATGGGGGTAGGCGGCAGAGAGAAAGGGAGACACAGGGAGGTAGGGAGCAGACCCGGGCAGTGGACAGTCCATCCTCAAGCGCCCATACAGCACCCTCCTCAGGAAGGAAGTACAGGTAGGATGAATCTTCTGGTCTCCGATCAATATCAGATCAGACAGACCCCTCTCCTCTCCCTCCTGGCCCAAGAGGACATCACACACACACACACACCCGCTGGCCCAAGATGCAGAGCAATTGTTTCAACTTGGAGTGCCCACCCAAACTCCCTCAACCCAAGGGACCCTCTGGATGAGGGACTGGAGCCCAGCCTTTGCCAGAGTGGGATCAACCTCAAATCTCCAAGGCGGGGAGGGCCTGGATCTGCATGTTCAGCAGATGAATGAGCCCTAGGGACGCTCATTGCATATTAAAAGCCAGAGCAGCAGCTCCCTCCCTCACTGTTCAGATGGGACACTGAGGCTGGACCACATTGGGTGGGCAGAGAGATACAAAGAACTCCACTCCCTCCTACTACCCTGTTTCCCTGAGCCCAGGAAAGGGGCACTCGCACAGCGCAGCTAAGGGACACCTCCCTGCACCTCTCCATCTCAGGGCCTGGAATCTAAGGGTTATCGGTTCCCTAAAAATACTGAAACTAATAAACAAATGCATAACCTTATGATCTGAAGGTGGTGGGAGGGTTTAGGGAAAGTTTATTACTTTCCAAACGACAAAATGTTTAGAAAGTAATGAAGGAGGCTTGCTTTCCCTTTCCTGTAATCTCCAAATCTTTCCATTAAAAAGTCTAAAAACACGTTAGAAAATGACAACAATTATAGTTGGCAGACAACAGTGGCGACCCCATTGCACAGATGAGGACGCTAAGTGCTCATATTTAAATCCGAGTCACCTGCCCAAGGTCACGAACGGACAGAAGAGGTGATACCTCACCCCGCCAGAAGTCCCCAAGTTCGACGCAGACCGCAGCACCCCTACCCGCGGTTCGGTGCGTCCCGGGCTTACCTGCGCGGCAGAGCGCTGGGCGCGGAGGTCCTGGGCGCGCAGGTGCCACCGCGCCGTGTGGTACAGCCCCAGGACGCCCCCCAGGGCCAGCGCCGCCGCCCCCAGAAGCCGCGGGCTGCCCTTTCGGGCTGTGGCCGCGGGGCCCGGGCCTCCCGCCGCTCCCGCGAAGCCGGCCCGACTCCGAGCTGGGAGTCCCGACGGAAGGCGACCGCCCAGCCTCCAGGCCAGAGCGTGCCCGACCGGCCACAGCGCCCGTGCAGCCTGGGCCATGTTCGCTTCGCCGGCGCCGCGGGCGGGCGCGCAAAACGAAGACGGCCGGGAATCAGGCTTCCCTTAAAGGGGAGGGTCCCCGTCGTCGGAGGGTTGCTAGGGGTGACAGTGACGCCGAGCCGGGAAGAACATCCCCGGAGGAACTGAGCGCGCATCCCGGGCGCCCGGTTTCCACGCACCCGTGAGAGCCACAGAAACCCACTCTGGGATGTCTGGGAGTCGCTAAATGCCCGGCTTCTGAACATGAGTTATAACCCTTCTCAGTGGTGACCCGGGGACGAACGCAGGAACTCGTCGTGAGGACTTTGGGTCCCAGCGTCGTCCAGAATGTGTTTATTAACTTCCACCTCATGCAAGAGATTGAATCCTGAAGGGTGTCACAAAAAGGGTCACAGCACTGGGTCCAGGAGGTCCAGGAGAGCCGCGGAAACGCCGGACCACACCTGGTGCCTGAGATTCGGGCTCTTTCTGCCCTCCCGCGCCGCTGCACCGTTTCTTCTGTGTCCCGAACCATAAAATTTTCCATACACTCTAAGGGGCCTTAGAGACCACGTGTCTCAGATTTCAACCACGCGGAGGCGCTGGCTCGCCGACCAGTAGGGGTCCAGCAGCAGGATGGGCAGAGTGGAGCTGTCAGGCTGCCCCGCCCCTCTGCCGGGCTTGCGCCGTAGCTGAGGGCCCGGGTCCCCAGCACCTAGGCTTCGCGGCGGGCAGTCCCGGATGGCCCCTCCCGGAGGCCCGGAAAGGAGCGGGGCTCGGATAGTAGGCGGAGATCCAAAGACCGGTCAGGATGTGGGCAGGGAGGGGCGGAGTCTGACGGCGGGGCGGGGACAGAGCTGGGCTCGCGGGAGAGAGCGCGATAGCTGGGCTGCCGTGGGGACGGAGCTCCGGGCGTGGTGGGCGGAGCCTGACGGGGCGGGGCGGGGCTTGCGTCGGGCGGATCCCGCGTTGCGGTCGCATTCCTCTTCCAGGTTCCCTTCGGAGCTCCCCGCCGACTATCCGCCGCCTACACTTTCCGCCCGACGACGGTTTTCAGGGCGACGGTCGCCGCGGTCCACCGTCGCGCGGACATCGCAGCACCCGAGACCGCAAAGTCGGACCCTAACAGGGACCTGGGCATGCCGGTGGAGGCGGGCGCGGAAGGCAAGGACAACGGCTTCGGGGGAGCAGGTGGCCCCGGGGGTGGAAGAAGGGGGTGCTGCTGAAGCGACCTTTGCTTTTTCAGGGCTGCCCCCCTAGAAAGGGGAAGCGGGGCCGGGCTGGGGGCTTCGAACCCTCCCACCCCTCGCCCCCGGTAGTTTGCAGCTGCAGGTGACGGCCGGTGGTTCAGGGGGAGCACCTCCGAGTGGGTCCCTGGAAACCGCAACCGGAGAACTGCGGGCAACCGGCCCCGTTTTGCAGATGGGGAAACTGAGGCCGCTTCAGGATCACTCGCCCTTTTGGCATTTGCTCCAGCCACTTACTGCAGCCCCTGTGGAGACGGAGGCTCCTGAGGGGATGGGGCGGGTGGACCGTCTTAGCTCAGCAGGAGGGCCTGTCTGGGTGGGCGAAGCCGCCCTGCCCAGTCAGCATCTCCAGCCACCTTTGCCGGTGTGACCCGGAGCCTTGGCGAATGTGACCTGCTTACAGAGCAGCCTCTTGCCTGCCCAGCACTGCGGGGGAGGGTGGGGAGTGTAGGGAGGGATATGGACAGAGAACCATCAGCTCTTTTTCACCTTTTCCAGGCTGTTTCCATATCTGTAAAATAAGACTAATGATTAGTGTCTCCTGCATTGCGATGTGTCAGGATTTAATGGGAAAATGAATGAATGAAGAGAGGCTGGAGGCTAGAGAGGCTTGTACCCTAGAGACTCATATTTTTTGCACACCCGGCATCTGCTCCACCTCTGCCAAATAGAGAATGGAAACCCAGGGACCAGCACCTCCACCAAAATACTTGGCAGAATTTTCGTTTGGTCCTCTTGGTCAAGATTAGGCAGGATGTTAGGGCAGGCTCACTGCCCTTGACCCCTACACTGCTGCTTTCTTCATTCATTCATTACAGCCCCCTGTTTCTGGATAGCATTGAGCAAAGAGCCCTGCTTAATGCCCAGGGGACCTCAGCGTTTGGCTTTGATATTCCTTTTCTATCTTTGTTTCTATTTTCTTAATTTCTGCTCTCCACGTTCTCGTTCTGGTGGTGTTTTTTGTTTGTTTTTGTTTTTTGTGGGTTTTGTGGTTTTGTTTTGTTTTTTTTTTTTTTGCATTTATTTTATGGTTCCTTTTCTAAACCTTTACTCGGGACACTTCACTCATTCCTTTGCAGCCTTTTCCTGAGGCTTAAGACTACGCACGTGCCATGTTTGTTGTGACCCCAGCCAGCGATTCAAGCTCAGCTTCGTGCTACATCTGGCTGACAGAGGGAGCACTCTTCAAAACGTCCAGGCTGCTGTTCAGCCAGGATTGCTTTTTTTCTTTTTTTTTAAGACTTTATTTATTCATTTGAGAGAGAGGGAGAGCACAGAGGGAGAGAGAGAGGAAGAAGCAGACTTCCTAATGAGCAGAGAACCCAACGTGGGACTGGATCCCAGGACAATCCCAGGACCCCAGGACGCTGAGATCACGACCTGAGCCATCCAGGCACCTCACAAGATTGCTTTGTTTCTTTTTTACTACTTTTTTAAAATGTCTTAACGGTTAGTGTACTAATGTCTGATTTTCAAAGTGTATAAATTAAATGTGTACATTACTCTTCAAAAGCAAACAAAACAAATCTTGGTATAGCCCAGATTTTTTTCCTTTCTTGAAGACTGACAGCGTTCTAATTCCTGATTCATAATCTGACACAGTGCATTCGGTTTTCAACTTTCTATGAGAAGAAAATTATTCTCACGACTCACCAGTATTTTAATAGTAGAAGGCAAATATTCAAAACTAATGATTGGTCTTTCCATTCATTTTCTTCTCCTTTTTTTTTTTTTTTTTTTTTTTTTGTCTTGTCTTTGCCTCTTCTTATTGGACCTTTTAAATAAGTTGGGATTTGGGTGTGCCTGCGTGGCTCAGTGGGTTAAAGCCTCTGCCTTCCACTCAGGTCATAATCCCAGGGTCCTGGCTCTCTGCTGGGTGGGGAGCCTGCTACCTCCTCCCTCTCTGCCTGCCTCTCTGCCTACTTGTGATCTGTGTCTGTCAAATAAATAAATAAAATCTTTTTTAAAAAAATGAGTTGGGATTTGGACAGGAGGAGGTCATCCCAGATTATCCAGATGGACCGTGCGTGTCATCACAAGTGTGCTCCTTAGAGGCAAGTGAGATCACACACATAGAGAAGGGGATGTGAAGACAGGCAGGTTGGAGCAGAGGGGCCACAAGCCAACAAATGCCAGCAGCCAGCAAAAGCTGGAAAAGGCGAGAACAATCACCTAAAACATCTGGAGGGAGAGTGACCTTTCCCACACCTCGATTTTGGCACAGTGAACTTCTAATTTTTGACTTTGGGCCTTCAGAATGCGTTAATTTCAGCCAAAAAGTTTGTAGTGATTTGTTGCAGTAATTTGATGTTTTGGGAAATAGTCTATTCAGAAGATGCTAAAAGTAGGAAATTCACCGTTCAGAGAGGGTGCTCTGGAGAGAAGGTCAAGAGTGTGACTGATCAGGGGACCTAAGGATGTGGAGGATGAAGTGGGCCAAGACAGAGGTCTCCAGGGAGGTACGGAGGAGGCAGCCCAAGATGGTGAGATCCCGCAGTCTGGGAAGGTAGCTATCTCAGCCTGTAACAGAGAACCACAGACTAAATGGCTTATAAACAACAGAAATTTGTTTCTCATGCATCATAGGGAATACAGTCCATGATATAGCATGAGACAGAAGGAAGCTACACTTGGGGCAAAGCATAACCAGAAGCTGAGTCACTGTGTTGTACACCTGAAACTCATGTAACCTGGCGTATCAACTGTACTCAAATAGAAGAAGTTGTTTTAATTTATTTCTCACAGTTCTGGAGGCTGGGAAGTCCAAGGTCAAGGCGCTGGCAGGTTCAGTGTCTGGCGAGCGCCCGATTCCTGGCTCATAGGTGGCTGCTGTCTCGCCGTCCTCACATCGGGGAAGGGGTGGGAGGGGTCTCCGGGGTCTCTTATAAAGGCACTAATCCCATTCATGGGGGCTGCACTCTTATTATCTAATCACCTCCAAAAGATACCCCCCCCCCCGCAAATACTACTGCCCTGAGAATTAGCTTTCAACATAGGAGTCGGAGGGGGGCGGTATGACACAAGCCTTCAGTCCAGGACTTAGGGACCAAAAAACAAGGGAGAGAACAAGGAGCCATGGGACAGTCCAGTCCTGGCAGACCTGGCTGAGCAATTCGGGAGGGACACCTGTAGCTGCACTGACCTGGAGGGGAGGCCGGTGTCCACCCAAGACCTAAAGGACTCTGGGCACAGAGAGAGGTACCCAGACCTGTGCCCTGTGTCCTCTGGCCTCTGTAGAGGGCTTGGTGCACGCTCTCGGCATTTCCTCCACCCCCTCACCAGCCTCCTGGTCCCTCTCCCCACTCCCCATTGGTCCAAGTTGGCCCCTTCTCATGAAGCTGAACACACTCTCCCTTTGGGGCCTGACCTCGTCCTTTGCCTCTCATAGCCTGTCTCTTGACCCCCTCCCCCAGGGAAAGCCTCAGTCACAGACCATACCTCATGTGAAATAAGCACAGGGTGAGAGGAAGAGCCACTGTGACCCCAACCTTCCTCAACCTGGCATGAACGGGGAGGGGCAGAAGGGCTGGAGCCCTACACTTCCAGGAGGACCTCAAAGGAGCCTGAGTACCTCTCAGACATCTGTACTCTTTTCACCTTTCCAGAACCCATTCCCCTGCTCCCTGGGCTGGGCACTCTCCTGGTGGGTCCTGGGTTCTCAGAGTGCAAAAGAGAATCAGTCTTTTTTTTTTTTTTTTTTTTTTAAGATTTTTTATTTATTTAACAGAGAGAAAGAGAGATCACAAGCAGACAGAGAGAGAGGGGGAAGCAGGCTCCTCGCCGAGCAGAGAGCCTGGTACGGGGCTTGATCCCAGGACCCTGAGACCATGACCTAAGCTGATGGCAGAGGCTTAACCCACTGAGCCACCCAGGCCCCCCAAGGAGAATCAGTCTTTTGGGAGAGCCAGACTAGTCTTCTCACACAAGCTACCTTGGATGGTGTCCCTCAGAGGCCTAGCCAAGGGCCTGGCGGGCAGGGAGCATGGGGGTGCTTGACCAGGAGTGGTCAAGGTGGAGATGCTCTTTCCTGGGGTGCTCGGGGCTACAGCCCAGGCAGGAAGGGTGCACAGCTGGGAGGAGCCAGGTCTTGGCTAGCGCCAGGACCCTGCCAGGTAGAGGTGTCTCCTGCCCAGCCCCACAGGAGCCCAGTATCTACCCACTAACTGTCAGATGCCTGGTGCCCACGGCAGGCCCTGCCCAGAGCAGTGGCCTCCAGTCCCACTGAGGTCATCACGGACCTTCTAGCCTGCACGGGAGCCCAGGCTCCAGAGTGAGAGGCAGGGGCACCCAGCTAGGAGGCATGCTTGGGCCAGGTACCTGAGGACCAGACTGAGGAGGAAGCCCTGGGCCCAGATCTCATATGGCAAGGCCTGCTGCCCCCTGCCCAGTGGGCCCAAAGGACATTTGCAGAAGGAGGGACCCAGTGGATGCTTGTGGGAGGGATAGGGAGGGCTGCCTTTTAGAGGGTCCCAACCAGTTGGAAGGGGCAGGAACCAGGAGATCCTTGAGGCCCCCTCATAAGCCCTAGCACAACAGATGGGGCCTGGGGATTGGAAAGCTACTTCTGGAAACTAGAAACTCAAGCCAGGGCTCTGGAGGAGCAGGCCTTCCTCCTCCAGGGTGTTTGGACCACAATGGCCAAGGAAGGCTCATCTCTGGACACCAAGAGTTCCTGCGGCCGTGACTGGTCTCCTGGAGGCATTCCCCCAGCACTCAGGGGGATCATGGTGTGGACCTGCTATTTGGACTCTGGCCAACTCCAAGGGCTCCAGGGTGGATGGGACCCTGAAGGCCACAATGCTCACTCATTTGAGTCCATAACACATCACACAGAAGCCTTGGGGCCAAGTCCCTCCTGGGAGAAGCTGGGGCTGAGGCCTTCAAAGTCCTGCTCTGGACTTTTATTTGACACAAGGAGAGAGACAGAGAGGGAACACAAGCAAGGGGAGTGGGAGAGGGAAAAGCAGGCTTCCCACCGGGCAGGGAGCCCAGTATGGGGCTCGATCCCACAACCCCACGACCCTGGAATCATGACCTGAGCCAAAGGCAGATGCTTAACGACTGAGCCACCCAGGCGCCCCTATCCCCTTCACTCTTACCCTTCCCTTGGCTTCTGAGCTGAGCCACCAGAGGGGAGAGGTAGCTAGGCTAGGAAGGGCGGAAGAGGTGGCCATCACCAGTTGTCAGCTGAGGCCAAGCACACACAGAGATAACAATAGACAGATAAGGTCCAGACACGCCTAGAGCCAACACCCGTAGAAGACTGGGTTTGCTTAGAAGCTCCGAGTCGGCCTCAGGTAGAGACGGCGCCCCATGTGCGTGCCCAGCCTCTGTTAAACAACACAGATTGGGCTGAGTAATTTAAAACATCAAACTGGATTTATTGACAACTCATGAATCAGGCAGCACCCCATCTAGCAAAAAGAATGGAGCTTTGTTGGGGCGCCTGGGTGGCTCAGTGGGTTAAAGCCTCTGCCTTGGGCTCAGGTCATGGTCCCAGAGTCATGGGATCGAGCCCCACATCGAGCCCCCACATCGGGCTCTCTGCTCGGCAGGGAGCCTGCTTCTCCCTCTCCCACTCCCCCTGCTTGTGTTCCCTCTCTCGCTGTGTCTTTCTCTGTCAAATAAATAAATAATCTTAAAAAAAAAATGTTCGTGGTGGAAATTCCATGTGGACTGGTCAAAGGATACATGGGGGAAGGTGCGGTGCAGGGGGGTCAGGACCACAGTTGGGTTAGGCCATAGGTCTTGGCTTTGCTGATTTAGGGCCCTTAACATAAGTGAATCCATCTTGGGCCTGTGGTTTTCCTTTCAACACCTCACAGCATCTGCAATGCAGCTGTCTTTAGGGAGGGAAAAACTGGCAGGGGTGGGGTGGGCAAGGGTGGGCACCTCCTCACGGAGTCAGGATTCAACTAGGGGCCCCTGAGCCGGGCCTTCTACCTTCTTGCAACTGGCCCTAACCCCTCCCCACCTCATACCTTCATGAGCAGGGGTGTGAATTCATACCAAAGGAGCGTTGGCCATGCTACTTCATGACTTCTCAAGTCTAGAATATTCTGTCCAGCGATAGGCACTGCCTGTCAGTCTCCCTCTGATCCAGCAGTCACGGCAAACTCAAAGATAATCTTTTAAGGTCAAAGGGAGGAGCAGGGGTAGAGCTTCTAGGGCTGTGAGTGGGAATGACAGAGGTGAGAGGTGGCCCTTGGTGACTTCAGAGGGCACGTGGGCTTTGGTAGCAACATCATTTCCCCAAAGCTTTGCTCATCCTCACTTTCTGCTTTTTCATCATCCTGAGAGGCCTGAGTGGGCAGGGGGTTCGCTGGGGGCCTTTTTGGCATCAGGGAGGTAGAGGCTGCCCTGACCCCCCCATCTCAGGACCCCTTGAGTCCCTTCCCTCAGGGTCCACCACCCAAAGCCCAGACTAGGGGAGCGGGTTCCCCTGTAGCAGCTAGAAGAGCCAAGGAGGCCCCGGAAGTCATCTGAGCACTCAGTTCTGCCTCAGGCCAGGCGGCTCTTCTGGTGACTTCTAGGAGACACCACCCAGGGGCTAGGACCCTGCACTGCCTCCCGTGGACAACCAGGCCCCCATGAGGAATCTGCTTCCCTCCAGGACAAAGCTGGGATCAACCATGGCAGAAACAGTCCTGGGGGCCCAGGCTAGGCCCCTGGGCTCCACAGCCCAAGACTGTGGCCAGAGCCGGCAGATGGTATCGATGCTCTCTCAAGGATGAGACCGAGTCCTTGCACGCACTGTGACCCAAAGTACCTGGTGTCCAGAGCAGCAGGGTAGAGAGCCCCGCTTTGGGCCCAGCCCCCCAGCCTGCTTCACCCAGAGCAGGGCTATGTCCTTCATTGTCCCCCCACCGGGATGGAGCTGGGACTGCTGCCCCAGAGCCCTGCTTTGTCACGCTGTCTCATTTGCAGCAGCCAGGCCCAGCTTGAGGGTCTCTGTCCCCCAGGCCTACAGGAGGGGCCAAGTCCCTTAGGGATCAGCTGAGGTCCGGGGCCACCTCTGCCAGCTGGGGAGCAGCAGACTCACCATGAGAACACTGCCTAGTGGGCTTTCATTGGAGAAAGGGTATCTCACCCCAGGCCAGGCCCTGGTGTGGGGTCCCTGGGAGGGCCAGGATCTGGGTCCATGAGTGCAGGGTACATATTCTGTCCTTCCCTGCCAGGAAGGTCCACTTTCAGCTGCCTCCCCTTCCCTGGAGGGGAACCAGGAAGTAGTGATGGGGTTTTGGAATATAAGTGAGGTTCAGGGGGACCGACGACCAAGAAAGAATTCTTGAGGGCACCTGGGTTGTTCAGTCAGTTAAGCGTCTGCCTTGGGCTCAGGTCATGATCCCAGAATCCTGGAATCAAAGCCCACACTGGGCTCCCTGCTCAGCAGGGAGTCTCTTTCTCTTCCCCTCTCCTGGCTGGTGCTTTCTCTCTCTCTCTCTCTCTCTCTCTCTCTCTCGCTTGCTCATTCTCTTTCTCTCTCTCAAATAAATAAATAATTTTTTGAAAGAATTTTTGAGACGTCTTTGGTGCAAAATGATGTTTAATTAAAGCACAGGGTCAGAAGCCTTGGGCAGAAAAAGCTGCCACCCCAGGGTTGTGAGCGGTGACTAATTATATACTTGGGAGTTGTGCAGGGGTAAAGAGGAGGGAGATCTCAAATGGATTTTCCTAGTTAAAGAAGACTCACAAGATACTGCCTTTGTCGGGGCACCTGGGTGACTCAGTGGGTTAAAGCCTCTGCCTTCGGCTCAGGTCATGATCCCAGGGTCCTGGGATTGAGCCCCCAGTCGCATCGGGCTCTCTGCTCAGCAGGGAGCCTGCTTCCTTCTCTCTCTGCCTGCCTCTCTGCCTACTTGTGATCTCTGTCTCTGTCAAAAAATAAATAAATAAAATCTTTAAAAAAAAAAAAAAAAGATCCTGCCTTTGTCAAGTTAAGGTTGTTTTTCCCTCTAGCAAGACATTAATACAAGGGTAGTTGGGAGCGTCCTGGAGGAGCATATGCTCCGCCCGCTTCAAGCATCTGTCAATGGGCTGCAGCCTATAAGGACATTTTTTTTTTAAGATTTTACTTATTTATTTGAGAGAGAGAGAGAGCAAGAGAGAGCACAAGCAGGAGGAGCAACAGAGGGAGAGGGAGAAGCAGGCTCCTCGGTGAGCAGGGAGCCCCACCCCGCCAGGCTTCATCCAGGGTCTCCAAGATCCTGACCTGAGCCAAAGGCAGACGCTTAACCAACTGAGCCACCCAGGCGCCCCGGTTATAAGGAAATTTCATTGTATCTACATTTCATTCTGGAAGCTAGGTTGATAGAAATGCAGATTGCTAAAACTTTTGTAAACTGAGAGAGATTCACTTCTTGCAGGATTGTGATCTCTGTAAGTTAACTGTTTTTCCTTTCCTTAGCTTTGGGGCATCCAGGAGTGCCTGAGGAATGTCACATATATGGGGGGTGGGTTATGGGGTGTGAGCTTGCCTTCTGTTTTCCCTCATCAGTACCACAGTCTGTCGGCGTGAGGCACTGTCTGTCTTCAGCAGGTGCCGGAAAGGGCCTCTCCGCACTTACCCCACCCTGGACTTGAGCTGAGCAGAGGCTCCTAGAGGTCAGGGATGACAGCGTGTCCAGATAGGAGACGGTGGACCACACACAAAGGATTCCTTGTCCCTGGCAGAGATGTGGAGCTCTGGGGAATGCCCCTCCCCCCTCCCTGGCCGTCCTGCCCCTCACCTTGCATAATCCTGACCTGGGGGAAAGGGACGGAGAGCTTGCCCAATGTTTCAGCCTGAGCTGCTGGCAACTGCCTCACCCTTCCTGGATTTGGCAAAGGATAAATTCGCTCCACCCTGGCGTGAGCCACTGGTCAGGGGACCATAAATAGGGTCCCCGGGGCAGCCTTCTCACTAGCTTCTCCTCCTTAGCTGCTGTCCTGCACGCCAGTTTCCTAAGCCCTGAAGTCATGGCCCGAGGTATCCTGTGTCTGGGCATCGTCCTGCTGGGGGCCCTGCAGGCTCCGGCCCAGGACTTCCTCATAAGTCCGATCCCAGCCCCACTTCTGGACTCAATCCCCCTGCAGCCCGACTTCCAGGAGGACCAGGTAAGGCAGCTGCAGGAAGGCGCCTGGGGCAGAGAACAGAGTGTTCACTCTGTGAACAGAGTGAGGAGAGGCAGAGTCTTAGGGAGCGTGTCAGGGCCGGATGGGCTCAGGCTTCAGCTCAGCCCACCCTCAGGTCGCTTGATGGAAGGCACACCCCACACCCCCGTCCCCACCCCAACTTCGCTGTCAAGAGAGTCACTTGAGGGGCGCCTGGGTGGCTCAGTGGGTTAAAGCCTCTGCCTTCGGCTCGGGTCATGACCTCAGGGTCCTGGGATCGGGCCCCGCATCGGGCTCTCTGCTCTGCGAGGAGCCTGCTTCCCTCTCTCTCTGCCTGCCTCTCTGCCTACTTGTGATCTCACTCTGTCAAATAAATAAATAAAATCTTTAAAAATTAAAAAAAAAAGAAAGTCACTTGAGCGGAACTTGCCAGGTCCACGATCCCTTCCGTAATCCCCACAGTCCTTGCAAGGTGGGGACATCTTCAGGCCCTCTGCATGATAAGGAAACAGGAACAGGGACTTTAGCGGGCCACTTGCCAAGGGTCACCCTGTCCCTACCAGACTCAGGGCTCCCTCCTGGCTGGGGGCCCCCAACTTCTGTGGCTGCATCAACGCAGGCCTGTGTGGCCAGTCAGGGTCCCTGCTGCCCAGCTCCTGGCTCCCAGTCAGGCTGCCTAGAGGTACCTGCAAGAACAGAGCAGCGGGGGGGCCCTCCGGGGGTGGTTCCTGGGCTCTACATATCAACTGCCACCCCTCCCCGCCATAGTTCCAGGGAAAATGGTACGTCATAGGCATAGCAGGGAACTCGATTAATGCAACAAGAAGAGCCCGGTTCAAGATGTACACCACCACATACGAGTTGAAGGATGACCACAGCTACAATGTCACCTCCACCCTGATCCGGTGAGAGCCACCACCTCCTGGGTGGGGGGTGGGGGGTGCGGCAGGGACGCCCCGGGGGTCTGAGAGGCAGACTGATGTCAAAGCCCAGCGATGACTGAAGGTGAAAGGTGGACATTCATCCTACCGTTGGGTACCAGAACCCCCCGCATTCATCCCCTCCTTCATTCTCTAGATCAATATTTATCGGTCACTTCAGTGCAGACACACAGACAGTACTGGGGATGGATAGTACAGACAGCCCTAGGGAAATGGGACTGGAGAGAGCAGGGGCATCCTCGAGTGGGAGGAGGGTCACTCGATCCAGCCTGGAATCCCACCCAGGGCTACATCAAGGGCTTCCAGACAGGTGGTCTCTAGGCTGGGCCTCAAGGAAGTTCCAGCTCCTTCAGGAGATCATCACAGGGCTGCCCTGAGCTGAGGCTGATGAGCAGCCCGGAGAGGGGCGGTGGCCGAAAGGCAGGGTCCTCAGACACCAGTACCAAACGGATCTGGTGACAAGCAGGTATGGCTGCAGCAAGGAGAGGAATGAGGGAGGCTGGTCAGTCCCAGGTCGAAGATGACCAGGATGGGGGCAGATGAGGACCTACAGAAGGGAGCCAAGAATTACCCAGCTCCTGTGGGCTTCTGGCTCTGGAACTTGGGGGATGGGGCTGGAGCACTTGCGGTGAAGGGAACAGAAGAAGGGCAGGTTTGGGGAGATGAGCTCTGGGGTGCCAGGGTACCAGATGGGATGCCCGTGAGAGGGCAGGGTCGGCCCAAGAGCTAAGGGCATCCTCGGCATCAACAGATTGTAGCCTTTGGAGCGTGAATCCCCCAGGAGACTCTACAGCAGGAAGCTGTAAGATAAGAGGGATGCGTTCAGTGGGGAAGAGCCAGACCCACTGGAGCAGGGTAGGCCGTGGTCCTCCTGAGGCCAGGTGGGCTGTCACATTTTTTTAAAAATATTTTATTTATTAGAGAGAGAGAGAGCACATGTGTGCACACATGAGCAAGCAGGGGCGGGGACAGAGGGAGAGAGGATCTCAAGCAGCCTATGCCGAGCACAGAGCCGGACTGGGGGCTCCATCCCAGGATCCTGAGATCAGGACCTGAGCCAAAATCAAGAGTCAGATGCTTCATCGACTGAGCCCCGCGGGCGCCGCTGGACTGTCACCCTCTTACCCACCACCCATCTCGTTTCCACAGGAACGAGAGCTGTGACCACTGGATCAGAACTTTCGTCCCAAGTCTCCTGCCCGGCCAATTCACTTTGGGCGACATCAAGAGTGAGTCCTGAGCAGGGCGGGTCTCCACAGGGCACAGACGCCATCCTGCGGGGGCTGGGGAGGAAAAACCGTTCCCGGCCCCCGACCAGGGGGTGGGCTGACCCCCTCACGGCCACGCTGCAGGTCATGTCGGGGTGCAGAACTACACCGTGCGTGTCATGCTGACCAACTACAACCAGTTCGCCATGGTGTTCTTCAAGAAAGTTCACGACAACCACGAGTTCTTCAAGATCACCCTCTACGGTGGGTCCTCGCCCACTGCCCCTGGGACCGTGCTCCCGTTCATGCTGGGGGCGAAGACGCCCATCCCACCCAGGCCCCAAGGTCCCCTTTACTCTGAGCCCCTGGGAGGTGGGAGAGGGGTCTTCCCGCAGGTCTGTCCCTACCCCTCCCATGAGGAAGGGCTCTGAGGCCTCATTCACAAGTTCAAGACTATTTATGGAGCATTTGCCTGCCACTCACTGGCCATCTTGACCATAGGGAGGACCAAGCAGCTGAGCACCGATCTGAAGAAGTATTTCACCCGCTTTGCCAAATCCCTGGGCCTCACCAATAACCACATCATCTTCCCTATCCCCATTGGTAATTGTCAGCTACGGAGAGGAGAAGGGGACATGGGGGACTGTCCAGGTCTAATGTTGCCTCACAAGGGAAAGGGGAAGTGGGAAACTTGGGCCCCTGCTGCCATCACTGGAAACCCTGGGAGCCACTTTGGGTTCATGAAGACCCTGCCACGCCTAGGGGTCTGTGGGGCACCCAGAAGGGTGGGTCCCAAGGTCCAAGTTTCCCATCTCCTTGCCTGGCCACCTTCCCCTCTGCCCAGGTCTGCTTGTCCTGGGCTGGTTCCCCCTTGGCCCTGGGGCTTGCTCACCACTGACTTGGGAGGTGCTCAGGGGGCCTGGCCTGGACCAGCACCTTCCCAAGGCTGCAGGGCAGTCAGGACTCAGCAGAGAAACAGGCAGAAGGTCTGATGCCCAAGCAGGCATGTGGCTGGGCCTCAGTGGCCACCTCTGGAGAATGGGGGTCACCCAGGTCTGTTTGTGCTCTGGCTTCTCTCCCCATCCCCTGCCCCCATCATCCACCCCTCTGCTGTATCATCCTTGAAGGAACCCCCAGATCATCTGTGGCTGGGCCAAGCAGGGGCCCAGGGCATCCCAGGGGAAGTATAGGGGCCCTGAAGGTCAGGGATCCCCCCATACACCCCTGCCCATGCTGACCACTCTATCCCCCGCAGACGAGTGCATTGATGATGAGTGAACGAGCATGCGGTGAGTATGGCCCAGGAGGAAGGGGCTGATGAGAGCCAGAATGCAGCGGGAGAGGGTCCCAGGCTTGCCTTTGCCCCCCCTGCCCAGCACTGCTGCCCTCTTTGTTCCCCTGACTCTCTTTTTAGGTGCGTTCTGTCCCCACCCCATCACCCTCGTGCCGACCTCTGCCCAGGGCACCGTCTAGCTGTCCCCACCAACCTGGACACTGAGAGAGAGCCGGGAGACCCTTCTCACTGCACAGCCCACCAGCTGCTCCCCAGGCTGCCCTTCTGATGGAACCCCTCCTTGCTCGCTAAATAAACACATGACCCCAAGTCCCGAGTCTGTGCTCCTTGACCCCTGGGCCGTCTGAGAGGGAGAAGAGCAAAGGGTGGGCTCCTGTTAGCATCACTCCCAGGGACTTGGTCCCCAGAGAGAGCTGGGGGCTGCGGAAACAGAGTCCACCTCTGACCAAACACCTGCAGCTCCCAGCTCCGGGCCCAGCCCCAGCCCCAGCAGCAGCCCACACTGACCCCCGCCCCCCGCACACTGATGGGCACATCTCATACCCATGTTCAGCCACCTGCAGCAGGGTCCAGGAGCTGCGGGGGTTTGGGGGGACTGAGTCCTGTAGATCCTGGAAGACTGCAGCCAGGGTGAGGGGTGCACAGCGGATAGGGCAGAAGCGTGTCCAGCTTGAGGCCGTGCCAGGCACAAAGGGCCACTGGAGGTGGTCCCCTTTCCCTCTGCCAACCCCCCTGTGGGCCCACTGGTGGGTGGCAGTGTCCATGCTGACCCTATTCCCAGTGCTGTCCCTCCCCCACATCCCACCTCTGTGATAACCTTTGGATCACCAAGGTCAGGGCCAGGGGAGGCAAAGAGGAGAATATGCCGCCAGAAAACCAGATTCCAGAAGGCTTGAGGGCTCCGGGCCTGTACCCAGCACTTGGCTGGGCCTGTGTGGGGCCTGACCAGCCCCTGTCCACCCCTGTGTGTCTGCATCACACCACATCGTAAACTTGAACTCCCTCCCTGGCCTCTTCTGCCCTTGCAAGGTCAGAAGCCAGAGGCGGTGAGGTTCTGAAGAAACCCAGGTGTTCCAGCGACTTACACACTTACCCTTGGGCCGGGTGGGGGGTGGGGAGGGTGGGATAGTGGGGAGATACTGGAGCTCTGAGCAGTCCTAGACTCAGCCCCAAGGCAGCCAGACAGGCCTGAGACCCAGGCCCACCAGATAGGCTGCAGCCTTAGAAGCCTGGATCAGGGAGCGCTTGGATGGCTCCGTTGGCTAAGTGTCTGCCTTCTACTTAGGTCATGATCTCAGATTCCTGGGATCAAGCCCTTAATAAAGCCCAGCACAGAGCCCCATGGGGCTCTCTGCTCAGCAGGGTGTCTGCTTCTCCCTCTCCCTCTGTGTTCTCTCTCTCTCTCTCATTCTCAAAACAAAACAAAGCAAACAAACAAACAAAAAAACAGTGGTCTGGGGCAGGTTCCAGGAAGAGACCAGCGGGCAACGGAAACCGACCGCTTCTTTGCTTTGGCCCAAGCCATGCAGCCTCCTGGCACCACATGGGCCTGCTGGGTCTTCCAGGATCACACTCAGGCCACAAATGGGCTTTGTGTTTCTTCCCGGGGTCACTGGGTTTTTATCAGTTTCCTATTGCTGCTATAATAGATTATCACACAGTGGCATCTTTTTTTTTTTTTAAATATTTTATTTATTTATTTGACAGAGATCACAAGTAGGCAGAGAGGCAGGCAGAGAGAGAGAGGAGGAAGCAGGCTCCCTGCGGAGCAGAGAGCCCCATGCGGGGCTCGATCCCAGGACCCTGGGATCATGACCTGAGCCAAAGGCAGAGGTTTTAACCCACTGAGCCACCCAGGCGCCCCCACACACTGGCGTCTTAAGACAATATACACTTATTTTCTTACAGTTCTGGAGGCCAAAATTCTGAAATCATTTTCACTAGCTAAAATCAAAGGGTCAGCAGGGCTGTGCTTCCTCCAGAGGCTCTTGGGGGAGAGTCCCCGTCTTTGCCTTGGGGTTCTTTCTTCCTTCTTTAAGATAGCAGTGCGGCATCTCCGAATCTCTCTCTTTGCTGAGGTCCTCACATGGCCTTCTTTCTTGTTTGCCGTCAAATTTCCCTTGGCATCCGTCTCTCTAGGGACACTTATGATTACATCCCAGAATACTTCCTGTAATCACATCAGCTCCCGCCCTTTTTTCAAGTAAGGTATTGTTCTTAGGTTCCAAGGATTACGATCCAGATATCTTTGGGGGCAGACCACTACACTGAGTCCAAAGAGGGAACCATGGCAGGGCTAATGAGACGGGGACACAGAGGGGAACAAGGACTGCAGAGGCAGGGCAGCACCAGAGCACATCCCTTTCCCTCATCCGGGCTGGATGGGGTAGGTCGCTGTTTTGTCCTGTGGTCTGGTTTACGGACCTTGACCATGGCAGTGAGGTGGGCGGAGGGAGAGGCCTTCCCTGGGACCCCAGCACTGCACCAAACTCCAGCGTGCCTGGGGCACCTGCTGTGACTGACCGTGAGGTATGCAGATCTGTGCGGATCTATGCGAGCCGAGGTTTGTTTCTGAGAAACTACGTGACTTTCTGAGGGTTTGTCTGATCCTTCCCCTGTGCCCTGGAGTCTGCGTGTTTCTCCCGTGGTCTAGACATCGAGTCAGGTCCCATTGATCTCATGTGTGATTTCACATTTAAGAGGAAAACACGTGTCTGTATTTTTGTTTGGGTGTCTCGTCCCTACAGGGATAAATGTGTTTGGATTACATCGGCACATCCACACCCGTGACCTGTGTTTCTGTCCTGTCTCTGCAGACCTGTGTGCCATGCTCGGTACAGGTGTTTCTATGCCAGTCAGGGCTCATGGGGCTTTGCTTTCTTGGTTGGTGAAATGCCAGGTGGTCCTAAGGAGGGCCTCTAAGCCACCTGCCGAAGGCAGATGCCCAGGCCTCTTGCTTTCTCAGCCCTGCTTACCGGTTCAAGGCAGTCCTCACCTCCATTCCACCTGGGTCTGGGAGAAGGCGAGGCTGCCAGTGTGCAAGTCAGTGGAGGCACGAAAGATAGGCTGTAGACTCCATCTTCCTCAGGGGGATATGGTGGGACATACCCAGGTCTGACGGCTATCCCAAGGATGTCCTGCCCACAGAAAGCACGAGCATGAGACGAGCACCGGGCAGCTACAGGGACGGGACTCCCAATAAGTCAATCAGCCAGACCCCTGGCCAGGATAATACCTCTGGGTCCAGCTCAGGAGGGACAGTGGCTTGGTGGGTGACTTTGGGCAGGCCTCCCTTTCTCACCAGGTAAAAGGGGTGGGGGGTGATGGCGGCTGGGCCAACCTTCTCCTGACGCCACGCGCACCACTGTGCCACACAGACCGTGACTCTCACTGAGGCTGTGAGCCTAAATCTTCCGAAGCCATAGGGAGCCTTAGAGACAACGCGTTTCAGATTTCGCGCACGCGGAGGCGCCGATTCGCCAACCCGCAAGGCCGCAGCTGCAGGAAGAGCTGAGTGGAGGGGCCGGGGTGCCCGCCTCCTTCTCCCGGGCTCCACGCCTCTTCCACCACCTAGGCTTCTGGGAGGGCAGCCGCGGTTGACCCCGCCCCGCGGCCGGGAAGGGGCGGGGATAGGGGCGGGGCGCGACTGTGAGGCAGGGAGTGGGCGGGACTCTGGATGTTGGGGCGGAGTGTGACGGTGGGCGGAGACGCAGTTCTGGCGGTGGGGCGGGGAGGGGGCGGAGCTCGCGCCGCGAGGTTCCGGCCTTGGGGGCGGGGCCCCGGCTGCCCCGCCGCGTTCCGCCGTGCCGTTCCACTCTTCCGGCCTCGCGTTCCATCCGGCGCCTCCACCTTCCGCCCGGCGCCGGCAGTCGGCGCGAGGGTCGCTGGGTTCCACCGTCGCGCGGCCCTCGCGGCGCCCGAACCCGCAATGTCGGGCCCCAACGGGGACCTGGGCATGTCGGTGGAGGCGGGCGCGGAAGGCGAGGACGACGGCTTCGGGGAAGCAGGTGACCAAGGGCGGGCTGCTGAAGCGACCTTTGCTTTCTCAGGGCTGCAGTCCTGGAAAGGGGAAGCGGGGCCGCGCTGGGGGGTTGGAAGCGACCGCAGAGTCCTCCTACTCCTCGTCCCTGGTGCTGCGGCTGCAGGCGCCGGCGGGTGGGTTCAGGGCGAGCATCTGCGAGTGGGTCCCTGGAAACCGCAGTACCAGAGAACTGCGGGCAACCGGCCCCGTTTTACAGATGGGGAAGCTGAGGCCGCTTCAGGATCACTCTACTCTCCCTTTTGGCATTTGCTCCAGCCGCATCCTGTAGCCCCTGGGGAGACGGAGACTCCTGAGGGGATGGGGCGGGTGGTCCGTCTTGGCTTAGCGGGTGGATCTGTCTGGGTGGGCGAACCCGCCTTGCTGAGTAAGCATCTCTAGCCACCTTTGCTGGTGTGACCCGGAGCCTTGGCGAATGTGACCTGCTTATAGAGCAGCCTGTTGCCTGCCCAGCACTGCGGGGGACGGAGGCAGAGAGAGACCCATCAGCTCCCTCTCACCTTGGGGAGCCTCAGTTTCCCCGTCTGTTAATTAAGACTATGATTGGTGTCTCCGGCATTGAGATGTGTCAGGATTAAATGAAGCAGAAAAAAAAAAAAAAAAAAGGAAAATATTTAATAGGATTGAAGCATGCAGGTGTTTGGTGAGTGGTTATTTTTCTCTTTAGTGTAATAAAGATTGGTTTCCCAAGCCGAAGGGCAGGACTTAGTAAATGTGAGAAAAGTATGCAGTCTGCTTTTTGTTTTGTTTGGCTAACAGCTTTATTGAGCTCTAATTCACATATTATACAATGTATCCATTTAAATCGTACATGTCAGTGGGTTTTAGGATGTTCAGAATCATGCATCCATCACAGTAGTTTCAGAACACTTTGATCACCTGGGAACTGCGTTTAATAAAGAGGGAGAGGACCTCCCACAGGGTGGTTAGTAGGCTGGCTAGTTT